AAATCGGAAAGGAAAAATCACTATGGATACCACAGAAATACAAAGAATTATTAGAGAACACTATGAAAAATTATATGCTAACAAACTGATAACCTAGAAGAAATGAACATCTTTCTAGAAAAATGCAACCTTCTAAGGCTGACCCAGAAAGAAACAGAAAATCTGAACAGACCAATTACCAGCAACGATATTGAACTGGTAATCAAAAACCTACCTAAGAACAAAATCCCTGAACCAGATGGCTTCGCCGCTGAATTTTATCAAACATTTAGTGAAGACCTAATACTCATCCTCCTTAAAGTTTTCCAAAGAGTAGAAGAAGAAGAGGGAATACTTCCAAACTCATTCTATGAGGCCAGCATCACTCTAATACCAAAGCCAGGCAAAGACACCACAAAAAAAGAAAATTATAGATCAATATCCCTGATGGACATAGATGCAAAAATACTCAACAAAATATAAGCAAACTGAAATAAAAAATACATCAAGAGGATCATACACCATGATGAAGTGGGCTTTATACCAGGGATATAAGGATGATACAACATTTAAAAATCCATCAACATCATCCACCACATCAACAAAAAGAAGCACAAAAACCACATGATCATCTCCATAGATGCTGAAAAAGCATTTGACAAAATTCAACATCCATTCATGATGAAAACTTTGAACAAAATGGATATAGAGGGCAAGTACTTCAACATAAGGAAGGGCATATATGACAAACCCACAGCCAACATTACACTTAACAGCGAGAAGCTGAAAACTTTTCATTTAAGATTGAGAACAAGACAAGGATGCCTACTCTCTCCACTTCTATTCAACATAGTACTGGAAGTCCTAGCTATAGCAATTAGACAACACAAAGAAATAAAAGGCATCCAGATGGCAAGGAAGTAGTTAAACTGTCCATTTGCAGATGACATGATATTGTACATAAAAAAACCCTAAAGAATCCATTCCAAAACTATTAGAAATAATATCTGAATTCATCAAAGTTGCAAGATACAAAATTAATACACAGAAATCTGTGGTATTCCTATACACTAACAATGAACTAGCAGAGAGAGAAATCAGGAAAACAATTCCATTCACAGTTGCATCAAAAAGAATAAAATACCTAGGAATAAACCTAACCAAGGAAGTGAAAGACCTATACTCTGAAAACTACAAGGCACTCATGAAAGAAATTAAAGAAGATACCAATAAATGGAAACCCATCCATGCTCATGGATAGGAAGAATTAATATTGTCAAAATGGCCATCCTGCCTAAAGCAATACAGATTCAATGCAATTCCTATCAAAATTCCAATATCATTCTTCAACGAACTAGAGAAAATCATTCTAAAGTTCATATGGAACCACAAAAGACCCCAAATAGACAAAGCAATCCTGAGAAGGAAGAATAAAGCAGGGGTGATTATGCTCCCTATCTTCAAGCTCTACTATAAAGCCACAGTAATCAAGACAATTTGGTACTGGCAGAAGAACAGATCCATAGACCAATGGATCAGACTAGAGAGCCCTGATATAAACCCAACCATATCTGATCAAGTAATATATGATAAAGGAGCCATGGACATACAATGGGGAAATGACAGCCTCTTCAACAGCTGGTTTTGGCAAAACTGGACAGCTACATGCAAGAGAATGAAACTGGATTATTGTTTAACCCCATTCACAGAAGTAAACACAAAATGGATCAAAGACCTGAATGTAAGTCATGAAACTATAAAACTCTTAGAAGACAACATAGGCAAAAATCCCCTGAATATAAGCATGAGCAACTTCTTCCTGAACACATCTCCTTGAGCAAGGGAAACAAAAAAGCAAAAATGAACTCATGGGACTACATCAAACTAAAAAGTTCCTGTATGGCAAAGGACATCATCAACAGAACAAAAAATTATCCTACAGTATGGGAGATTATATTTGTAAATGATGTATCCCACAAGGGGTTAACGCCCAAAATATATAAAGAACTCACATACCTCAACACCTAAAAAGCAAATAACCTGATTAACAAATGGGCAGAGGATATATGAAGAGACAGTTCTCCAAAGAAGAAATTCGGATGGCCAACAAGCACATGAAAAGATGCTTCACATCACTAATCATCAGGGAAATGCAAATTAAAAGCACAATGAAATATCACCTCACACCAGTAAGGATGGCCAGCATTGAAAAGACTAAGAATAACAAATGTTGGCGAGGATGTGAACAAAGGGTAACCCTCGTCCACTGCTGGTGGGAATGTAAGCTAGTTCGACCATTGTGGAATGCAGTATGAAAGGTCCTCAAAAAACTAAAAATAGAAATACCATTTGACCCGAGAATCCCACTCCTTGGAATTTACCCAAAGAATACAACTTCTCAGACTCAAAAGGACATATGTACCCCTATGTTTATTGCAGCACTTTTTACAATAGACAAGATATGGAAGCAACCTAAGTGTCCATCAGTAGATGAATGGATAAAGAAGAGGTGGTACATATACACAATGGAATACTATTCAGCCATAAGAAGAAAACAAATCCTACCTTTTGCAGCAACATGGATGGTGCTGGAGGACATTATGCTCAGTGAAATAAGCCAGGCGGAGAGAGACAAGTTCCAGATGACTTCCCTCATTTGTGGAGTATAATAATGAAGCAAAACTGAAGGAACAATATAGCAGCAGACTCAGAGACTCTAAGAAGGAACTAGTGGTTACCAAAGAGGAGGGGTGTGGGAGGCAGGTGGGGTTGGAAGGAGAAGCAGATTGAGGGGTATTATGTTTAGTACACGTGGTGTGGGAGATCATGGGGAGAATTGTGTAGCACAGAGAAGGCGAATAGTGGATCTGTGGCATCTTGCTGCACTGGTAGACAATGACTGAATTGGGGTCTGGATGGGGACTTGATAATATGGGTAAATGTAGTAACCACATTGTTTTTTCATGTGAAACCTTCATAAGAGTGTATATCAATAATACCTTAATAAAAAAATTAAAAAATTAAAAAGAATCATTTAATGTATATAATTACTGAATCACTATCTTGCCCACCTGAAACTATTAAAATATTGTATAAAAATCTACTTCAATAAAAAATTAATGGTAATAATTTAAAAAAGATTCTCAAGCCCTATCTCTGAATCAGGAGCTGACATTTCAACAGGTTTCCTGGGTTATTTGTATGCACATTAAAGCTTGAGAAACACTATCTTTGGAGACAAACAATTATATCTGAGAAAGCACTGATAGTTATATTTGTGTATCTCAGGGTACTTTCCTGTGGAAGAGAATTTATGGGATCAAAGAACAACTTGTCAACAGTCAGAGCTATTCAAAGATGAAAGGGATTCCAGGGTGAGGAAAGAGAGTCTAAGGCAAAGACATCTCCATCACCACGGGTTCAACACAGGCAGTTGCCATTTGAGTGTCCTTACAACAGCTACTGCCATTTACTAAGCTCCAGTATGTTTCAAACATGTGGTTAAGTGCTTAAGATTTGTTTTATGTAACTCTTACAACCACCTTGCTTGGTAAACCCTGCTTGGTTTTTCTTGGAGGGCAATAAAAAAGTTAAGTAACTCACCCCCCAGGTCATAATGTTAAGAGATGGAGCACAGGCCTATGTCTTCCACATGGTAAGTTCCATCTTTCAAATACTGGATCAGTGAGAGGGCTAAATGATTTTTTAATTTATATATGTACTATGTATTTTTGTTTATGTATGTAAAGTTTAATTTAATTATATATATAAAAACAAAAGTTTAATTGCCTTAAAAATAAAAATAACCATAATCCTAACACAATTAACAACTGTCAAATTAAACCCCATTGATATGTTTATATGCTTCTTTCTATGACTAAAGCTACCTATAATTAGGTGAGAAACAAGTGTCTGTACGGGCAGTCTCTGTCTCTTTGCTTATCCCTCATAGATGATGATAGTTCAGTTAATTAGTTAGGGAACATAATATCTTGCTATTAATAAATAGATTTGGGTGGGAGACAATGTACTATAAAGAAAAGAATAAAGAGAGTCAGGCAGACATGTGATACTAAGCAAATAGTTTAACCCATCTAGGCCTTATTTTCCTTAAGTATGAAACGAAGGCTTTGCTAGATGATCCTTCATTATAATATGAACTTTCCCATCCCTATATGTATTATGATTCAGCACTGGCTCAAGCCCACAAACTAGAAGTCATTCACACTTGATCATCTTTCATAGGACTTTTGACAGCTTTTACTTCATGTAAATGAGGTTCATACTTCTAGCTGGAAATCATCCAGTGAATTCCTATATCACTTGAATAAAATCTAAGCACTTTATTCATAGCTTATAAGACACTCTAAAATCTGGTCCCCACCTTTTTCTTCAACCTCTTTCCCCCACCATTCTTCCCTTGTGTCCTGAACTACACCCTGTTGAGTCTAAGGCCTAGGGATGTTTACCTGGAGCCTTGTCTCCCCATCTTCTCACTGATGACTCCCCATAAACCATGCCTCAGCCCACATGCCACATTCTGAAAAGAGATTTATCTGACTACCCCTTGTATTCTATTCCATTGCCCTGTTTTATTTTATTCATAGCTCTTATCTCCATTTGAAGTTATTTATCTATTCATTTGTTTTGCTCTTTTTCCTTCACTAGAATTGTGTACTCCCAAAACAGGGACTTTTTCTGTCTTGTTCACCCCTTTATCCTCAGTACTTTCAGTAATGCCCAGCACATAGATATTCAATAACTATTTGCTGAAGAGATAAATGAATGATATTTTATGTGCTTTACAGCTCTAAAATTTAACAATTTGTATGGATTTCAGCTCTAATATGCTGTTTATATTTGGTTTATCTTTCAAGATAGGAGCAATAAACTATATTTAAATGGTCAAAGAAAACTATCATTACAACCAAATATTTTTAGGATGGAATTTTCTTTTATTAGCTTATATGCAGTTATAGTAGTGCAGTTCATATATTCTGTTCATTCCTAACCTTTTCCAGTGATGCAAATCCACATCATTGGACTGTTAGCTTTGGAACAACAATCAACCCTCCATTAATGAAAAGAAATGTCAAAAGAATTATTGTCCATGAGAGGTATCACTCCCCAGCAAGAGAATACGACATTGCCGTTGTACAGTTCTCTCCTGGAGTCACCTTTACCAATGATGTCCACCCAGTTTGTTTGCCAGAAGCCTCTGCATCCTACCAGCCGAATTCAACTGTCTACATCACAGGATTTGGAGCACTTTTCTACGGTGGTGAGTATCTTGAAAAGGATAACAGAGGACTAAGCCATATTTAGAGAAGTGTGACTCAATCTCCATCAATATTATCCTGCCAGCCATTTCCACATAGCTTGGTAGGATTATTTGGGTCTCTTGGTTTGCAAATGACAGACACTCAAATTAACTGAAGAAAAAAATAACAACAAGATAACAAATTTGGCCCTTGTAATTTGGAAGAATTGAGTCTGGCTTTAGGTGCTGTTAGATCCAGGAGTTCATATGATGGCACCAGGACCTCTGAATCCCTCCATTTCTTGGCTCTGTTTTCCTCTAGGTCTCCTTCATGTGGAGGGAGTGATTCTAGCTTTACACAGTAGCAAAGGTGGCCAACAGCAGCTCAGGGTTTACATCACTTTCCCCTCGGGGGATGTGTTTCCCTCTGCCAACTACATTAATCCCTGAAAAGGTCTATTTTGGTCCAGTTTATGTTCAGGGGAAATTCAGCTGACACTCCCATGCCTGTACCAAGAAAGGCAGGCATGTGGTTGGCAGACTGGTCAGGATCACATGGAATGAGGTAGAGGTGGTTTTAAAGGGCTGGGCCTCAAAAAAGAAATAAAAGAAGTAAATGTTCAAAAAAGAAAGAAATCCTGCCATTTGTGACAACATGGATGGTCCTAGAGGGTATTATGCTCAGTGAAATAAGCCAGGTGGAAAAAGGCAAATACGATATGATTTTACTTACTGTGGAATCCCAAAAACAAAACAAAACAAAATGAAGAAAAGAGCAGTTGACTCACAGACACTGAGAAGGGGCTGGTGGTGACTGTGGGGGAGGGGGATAAAGGGACACAAAAATCTCAGTCATAGTATAAGGTGGTCACAGGGTAGGGCTCCATGGAGAATATGGCCAAGTGATTCTGTAGCACCTTTCTATGTTGACAGTAACTGCACTAGTTCGGATGAGGATTTAATAATGTGGGTAGTAAACTACCATGTTATATACACTTGAAATCAATATAGTATTATATATCAACTATACTTCAAAAAAAGAAAAGTGTTTCCTCAGGAGCACTAAAATTTATTTCTGTGTGGCATTCTCTATGCAATGCCAGATATACATAGGCCATATAATAATCCCCATGCCCACCTTCACCCCCAAGACTTCCTTTGTACCCCACCTGTGAGCCCCTTTCTATCCTTTCATCTCCGCCTCCTCTTAGTTAGCCCCATCAGTTGCTTTCACTTTCCTCAATCACCTCACAAATTTTTCTTGCTCAGCTATAATCTCCAGTTGCAGCAAAACCTGCCTGAGAACTATAGATTTAGCCTAATTTAAGAGTGGTCAGGAATAAGAGTACCATGTAGAAAGAAATCACCTGATAATAAAGCTTCCACTGACCTCCCTAAAATGATCTAACTTGGCATACTGACTTAATCTCTTAAAAAATAAACCTGATTTCCTTTTGGGATGTTTTTTGGGCATTCTTAGTCAGACACACTCTGGATTCTAAAATCTGGTCCAGGTACATACGTATAACTACAGCAAGAGGGTTTCTTTAACTCTGGGCTTGAGAAGATAAGAAAGGGCTGAGAATGAAAAATCCATTCACAGAACTCTATACAATTTATTTATATACAAAAGTCTCTGAAGAACAAACCTTTAGTTCTCAGACTCCCCTAAGCAACTAGGGAATACCTTTCACTAACGTGGCCAAGAACAGGCCTGGTGGTCTAGATTGCCTTCAGATGTCCCAAGTGGTTTAATTCCAGATGATACAAGCTGAGATACGTGTTACTTTTTGTAAGACCATATTACCAGCTACAGAACTTATCTGTAGTTTATTAATACCAGGGGTCACTGCATAGAGCCGAAAGTCTGACACTCCTAAGTCTGCTCTCTCTCTCTGATGGGTTTTCTTCTAAGGTAAAGCTTGCATTCTCTGCTTCATGATAATGGAAGGGGCATCTCAGTTTCCCTTTGGGTTGGCAGGAAGAATCATTTCTGGCATGGAGTTTGAGGTTGGCAGAAATATACCTACCATAATACTTTTTAAGTAGCAACAGAATCTAACTGATGTGTATAGAACTCTCTTCTAAACAATAGAATACCCACTTTTTTCAAGCACCCATGGAACATTCACCATGATAGACCTTATTATTGTTTCACTTCTCATAAAATAATCCTCAGCAAGTTGAAAAGGATTGAAATCATACATAGCATGTTCTCTGATCATAATGAAATCAAACTAAAAACTAGTAACAGAAAGGTAACAGTAAACTCTCCAAATGCTTAGAAGTTAAACAATACACTTCTAAATAATCCATGGATCAAGGAGGAATTCTTAAAGTAAATTTTAAATATACAAAGAACTGAATGACAAAGAACTGCATATAACACTCTGCAGAGGGAAATTTATAGCAAATGCATCTCAATTTACAGTGAAAGGTCTCAAATCAATAATCTAAATTCCTACTTCAAGAAACTAGAAAAAAAGAGCAAAATAAACCTAAAAGAAACAGAAGGAAATAAAGAATATACATTGATAAAATCAAAAGCAAGGAAACAATAGAGAAAATTATTGAAAAAAAAAACTGAGTCTTTGAAAATAATCAATACTTTGTGAGAAATATCAGTAAGTATTCCCACAAGAGTTGACAAACAGTTCAGGGATGTCCAGGAGTTACAGGCTCTAACTTTTTATAACTTTTGCTAACTGGCTTTCTGAAAAAGTTATGAATTTATACCATCAGCTACAATATGTGAATTGCCAATTTTTCTTTACTCTTCCTGACACTGGATATGAATTTATTTTAACTGGTAATGTGATAGGCAAAAAAAATAATAATAACAACTAACCCAGTTGTTTCAGAGAGCAGGATAAGTTGAGCACTTTTTAAACATTTTAGCAAATACCTCTTCAGAAATAAACCTTGATTGTGTTTTCTACTAAAAGTGGTGTCTGTATTAGTTTTCTATGGATGTGTAACAAAGCAGCACAAATTTAACAGCTTACAGCAGCACTCATTTATTACCTCACAGTTTCTGTGGGTTAGCTCAGAAACAGCTCAGTGGCGTCTTCTTGTCATGGTCTCACAAAAAAGCAAACAAGGTTTCAGCTGGGGTTGTGGTCTCATCTGTGGCTCTGAGCTCTCTTCCAAGTTCACTGCTTGTTGGTTGAATTCAGTTACTTTAGCTACAGAACTCATGGCAGCTTGCTTCTTCAAGCCCTTAGGCAGTGGTCTCTCAGGGAAGACCTGGACAAGACCCATGCCCTTTTGAAAAGAGTTCATCTGGTTAGGTCAGGCCCACCTTTGATAATCTTTTTGATGAACTCAGTATCAACTGATAACATCTTAATTTCATCTGCAAAAATCTCACCCATATCATGCAACATAAACTAATCATGACCTATTCATATAACTTAATCATGGGATAGTCACAGATCTCACCCATACTTGGGGGAAAGGAGATCACATACGAATCTTGCAGAATTCTGTATACTGTAATATCAGTTTCATGATCAGTATATGCTTTGATATAAAGAATTCCAGATCGCTTGTGATATTCTTTGTTGCTACCATAAGCAATTATCTTGCTGCCATAATATTGGTTCTAGAACTTACAGAACAGTTTATAATCTGGAATCCCAAATTTTTAATACATAAGAAATAAAATCATTACCTTTAAATGTCATTATATGTGAGAAAGTGCTTCCTAAAATATAAAGGATCCAGTAAGTGTATATAGTATTATAGTTATTTTAGCAAACCAAGAGAGAAAACTCCCGAGACTTGCAAAGTTTCTGGGAACAATCTGGAATCCACAAATACAAACTTTTTTCTTAAATGAATGCCTTCCTAAACACATAAACTGATTGTTTTTAAAGTAGAAGTACAAAGGTTTTCCAAAAAAAGAAATATAATGTTTTTCTGGCTAGTGTAAGTATCCATAAATATGTGATAAGAACAATTATAAATGTTCCAGATTGTAAAGAAAAATTTATTTTCTAGAAATTGCTTATATTAACTTTATTCTGTATTGACAATTTAAGTGTAAAAAAAGATTAAAGTCTGCTAGTTTTATTCTAGTTAAGGATGCTAATTATAAACATTAAAATTACTTTATTTTTTCTTAAGGGGAATCCCAAAATGATCTTCGAGAAGCCAGATTGAAAATTATAAGTGATGATGTGTGCAAGCAGCCATATGTGTACGGAAATGACATAAAGTTTGGAATGTTTTGTGCTGGATATATGGAAGGAATTTATGATGCTTGCAGGGTAAGTAGAAAGAGATTATTTTGATATTGTTAACAAAATTTTATCTGGCTCAAGAAATATTCTATGTTCTTTATATTAATACAAAATACAGATATCTTGTCAGCTCAGAAACTTCTAAATGCAAATTTCACAACACATATTTTTAAATGTTTTATTAAGCAAGATGAAATCGGCAAAGAGCTTCTTTGATGCTATCAAACAAATTAACCAATAAAATTAAATTTTCTTAATACCAGAAGTCCAGTTTCATAAACCAGAGTACCTTTCCTTAAATGGCACGTATCTAGAAAGGAAACACTCATGAGCAATAAACCATGATGTGACATTATACATGGTGTAATGGAGAGCTAATATTTTTAGCTTGAAGGGAACATTATTGGAGCAAATATTAGATAATATTTTAGTAAAGTCTGGAGGACAAATCGTACTTATGGAAAAAGTTATAGAGTAAGAAAAGAATATTATAGGAAAGAGAAAAAGCATAGCCAAAATTATGAAGGTATGAAATTACAACTCATGTTTAAGGGAATTCCAAGTAATCTGCTGGGTCTCCACATAAGGAGGATGAGAGGTGAGGAGGTGGATTGGGCCATGTTGTGAATATCTAACACCCTTTGCAGTGCTCCCCTCTGTTGTCCAATGTCTCTCGTGCACACATATTTTCTGACAAAAGGATAGAGTGTGTTTTTTCCTGGACGCACTAATTATAACATGAGATTCTTGAAAACTCCAAGGATGTGATCCTACTTGGTGACATGATGGGAATTATATTGATTTCAGTGGCAGAAAGCCCTGCCCAGAGTCCCACAGATACACAGCATGGACAACTGCTGCGAGAAAAGGAGCAGGAGACTCGTGGCACATGGGCTGGCACAAGAGCAGCACCTGGCACATATCTGCCTCAGTTCCTGAGACTGAGGAGGGAGGCACCTAGAATTCAGAGAACCCACAGAGAGGCCCACGTCATGACAGACAAGTGAGAGGTGATGACAGGAGCCTAAGAGCAAGACAACATACGGAAATCTTGGCAAATGGTGTGGTTAGTGATGAACCTCGGGAAGGATAGGTGGTCAGAAAAAGGTTTCACTGGACTAGGAGCAGGGGCAAGATCCCTGCCCCATGGCTAAGCACATAATAAGATAAGGCCCTAATCACAGAAAAACTGGGGAAGCTATGGAGGGAAAGACTCAGGCACAGGGGTCCTAAGCAAGGATACAGTGATTGTAACTGGGCACATGGTGAGGGGCTAGTCTGTCTGATAAAATGGAGGTCCAACATCAGATTTTCTGTGCCGTGTTCTTGAAATTTGATAATGGACTTTAAGCATTCTCACCACACATACACAAACACAGGAAGTAACTCTGTGAGGTGATGGGCATGTTAACTGACTTGTTGTGGTAGTCAGTTCACAAAACACGTTTGTCAAATCTTCAAAAGTTATATATACTTTTATAGATACAATTCTATTTGTCAGTTATACATCTATAAAAGCTGAAAAAAATTAAAATGTGAAAATTGAACTTTAAAGCTTTTGTAACTTTTGAAATCCATGTTTCAATTAATTATCCTAGAACTGGTCATCTATATATACCTATATTTAACACTGTCTAATAATAAAATATGTGATTTATCAGAGTGTTAGGTAATTAAGTTTTGTATTTAGCTAATATTATTTTTTTCTAATTTTCAGGGTGATTCTGGGGGACCTTTAGTTATAAAAGATCATAAAGATACCTGGTATCTCATTGGAATTGTGAGCTGGGGAGATAACTGCGGTCAAAAGAACAAACCTGGAGTCTACACAAAAGTGGCTTACTACCGAAACTGGATTGCTTCAAAAACAGGCCTCTAATTCACTCTAAAAGTTAAACATTGATTGCTGTATGCAGGTCATACATGTATGTGGATCTAAATATTCAGCACATGTAGTACAATGAAGTGATATTAAATGGCATGATTTATTTTAGAATCACTTTAATCAACCACTAACCTATCACCAATTTATAAGGGATTTAAATTTGTAAAATAGTGGGTCAGTTTCTGGCTTGAAAAATACAGCAGAGATACTCAGCTCTTTAAATCATGCAAGCTGAAGCATAAAAGAGGAGCAACACAAACTTTTGAAGATAATCTGAGATTTTTAGAATGTCTTTGTCAGGGGTGTCCCCTTAAGTGAGAGACTTTAAATTCTCAAAGAGCTCAGGAAACTTACATATTTTCCTATCATTTCTCTAGGGTTCACAAATACCTTTTTTTTGTTTTTCCTTGTTTTTCCACCTTTAGAAATATATTTTCTACTTATAAGCCCATTGGAGGGATACTCATTTTTTAAAATGTTATATCTAGGAAACAAGTACAGATATAAATCAAGCCAGAGATCTTCTAACCTTTTTCTGTGTAAAACTTCCCTTATTTTGGGGTGATTTTAAAAATACAGCAGAGATACTCAGCTCTTTAAATCATGCAAGCTGAAGCATAAAAGAGGAGCAACACAAACTTTTGAAGATAATCTGAGATTTTTAGAATGTCTTTGTCAGGGGTGTCCCCTTAAGTGAGAGACTTTAAATTCTCAAAGAGCTCAGGAAACTCTTACATATTTTCCTATCATTTCTCTAGGGTTCACAAATACCTTTTTTTTGTTTTTCCTTGTTTTTCCACCTTTAGAAATATATTTTCTACTTATAAGCCCATTGGAGGGATACTCATTTTTTAAAATGTTATATCTAGGAAACAAGTACAGATATAAATCAAGCCAGAGATCTTCTAACCTTTTTCTGTGTAAAACTTCCCTTATTTTGGGGTGATTTCTTAATATATATATTATATTATACACACACAGATAACCCTACCTTCAGATATGTCCAGAGAAAGCCTTATTAATGAATGAGAATATATAGTAATTAGCTAATTGAAAATGTATTTTTGTTACAAAAATTAGGGGGAAGGTGATGGTAACTTCTTGGGCAGTCCCAAAACAATGGCACAAAACTTTGACATTTTATAGATGCATTTACATGTTTGGACCACCAGAAGGTGGCACTGTATATTATTATAGTAAGGTTAAATGCCTAGAAAACAATTGAGTATTTGCTAATACGTTGAAGAATCAATGAACGTTGTCATCCTACATAGAAAAAAAATGTTTATTGCTTTGTGTTTCTGCAGCCAACTATCTCCTAAGGCTTGTGGCAATAGCCTATTACGATCAGAGACACTAGTTTAAAAACATTTTTAGTAAACATAAATTTTGAGGACCTACCAAACAGAACACAGGAACAAAGTGATCTGAAAAATCAAATATACCCACTAAGTAAAGTGCCTCATGAAGACAGGAGGGTCAGGCCCATGTACACTATGATGCAATCAAATGAAGGCTTTGTGGAAACTCTTTGTGTGACACCAGCTAACATCAGGTTTGTGGGTGGGGTGTCATTTACTCATGTTGTCTAAATATAAACTCAATCATTGAGTTACTTTATAATAATTTCCCCCATGTGCTATTGATAAGGCATGAAATAATCCTATAATAATCTAAAGAAGATTTATAATTTATTCACCAAAAAAATTGATGCATAACTTAGAATTTTAAAGCTTAAGAAAGATGTTCTAAGTCATGCCAGCCAACATCCTTATGGTTCAGAGACCTGAGGCCAGGACACATAAAGAACTTAGTGAAGCTGTAGGTAGTTTTTACCCCTACTGGGCCTAGAAGTCAGGTATCAATTTCACATTTCTTTTTCCTTACAAAGTATCTTTATGATTGCCTACATTTATTGAATTATCAGATCTATAAAAACTTCAGCAAATTCTATAGAATGTTTTAAATTAAGAAGCTCTTAAGAGTTTGAAATGATGTGATTGGTTTAGGCAGCTGGCTGCCAATTCTCTGAACTCTCTTCAAGATAAAGTTGTTTCTTCATCTATAAAAATATACATAGGCATATAAATTATTCTATATTATGGTGGTAAGATAATTCTGACTTTAGAGTTACGAACTTTATATTTCTAAATGGTTTATGCAGCCTTTCATCCTGTAAGCAAATGTTGATATATCATTTTAAATCTAATAATAAAGTTGGTGATCAGAGCATTCTACAAATAATATTACTGAATTTATGTTAGCCAATAGCATGAATCTTTCTTTCAACTGCTGTTAAGAATTGGAGTTAAAGATAATCCAAGAGTTTCTTGTAGTAATTAGTTTAGGTCAATGCAGAAGATTTCTCAACCTTGGCACTTTTGATATTTTGGCCTGGATAATTATTTGTGGTGAAGGGCTGTTCTGTGCCCTGTGAAATATTTAGCAGCACCCCTGACTTCTGCCTAATAGATGCCTGTAACACACTCCTTCCCCCCAAAATTGTGATAGTCAAAAAATACTTCCAAACATCTGCAATGTCCCCTACAGGGTAAACTTGTCCACTGTTGAGAACCACTGTTCTGAAGGCATTTGAACAGTTTCAGAAATGACAGATGCCTCAAAATTATGACATTGAATATTTACAAGCTATAGTCTCCCAATTAAACTAAACACTCACTATCACGTTCCTAAGAGAAATAGCATAAGTGACTGATGCTTCAATCAGCAACTGTTCCAAATACAGACTGATCATCCCCCACACAATGTGCTTGGAGGATTTCTCTCACACGCCTGCCTAGACTAGTGTATATTCACAGAGCACTCTAAACCACTGCCATGAAAACTGGTTTTTACAAATACAACCTCTACTAGAGTTTATGTATCTTTACCATAATCCACAGTAAGGAATGTATTTCACATCACAGCTTCATAAATACATAACAAAATATGTATATATAAAAGAACTGAGTTTCATAAAAAAATACTTACCTCAGTAAATACAATAAATATAGAATTTTCTATTCCAGTCTATTCATTTTAAAACTGCTTGCCCCACCAACTAAATTGATTTCACAGTCTAATGGGTCATGACCTTTAGTGCCTATAGCACATTCTGGAATAATCATCCACTACTATTAATGCCATATTGTTATTTTATTATCTACTCCCACCACTCTCCCTACCTTCAACCTCTCCTTACTCTACCCATTTAGCAAACTGTGGCTAAATTATAATGCAATTCAATAATGTTATTCCCATGCACTCAAATCCTCACTGATTTCTACTTTGCATAACAAATAGTCTAAATTTATGTCACCAGTTAACCAATAGGATTTTTGTTTCACACGTCCCCAGTGCTCCTGTAATGCTGAATGTCGCTCCTTATTTCCTCAACACATTTCTCCTCTTTGGTCATGCGGTGTTCTCTTCACTCTACAAGATCAAGCTCAAAGACCACCTCTACTGAGAATACTTTTCTTATCCCAGACAAAATTACTCTTCATCCAAAACTTTTTGTTCCCCCTCTAAAGTACTTCTCATACTTTACTCTGTATTATAGTTTTTATGTGCACATATTCTCTCTAAAACTATTTTAAGTTCCATAAGGAAAACTGCTTTATTAATTTTTGCAACATCCATAATATTTAAAGCAATATTGTGTACACACTATGTTTAGTGAAAGAATTACAGAGGCTAATTATGAGTTCTATAAAGGTAAGACACCTCTGTTCTCAGTTGTTAACTGCTTCTGCCTTGTCATTGTTCTTTACACTGCTTTCCAACCTGTGCTGGTCCTGCTCTGCATATTCGTAAACGTTCCTAAAGACTTCGTGTTCTCTGCCTACTCCAAAAGTCATGATAATACAGTAAAACAGGTCCTGCATGTTTTATAGTGATCTTTGATTATGTATATAGAGCCCCTCTAACTCAAAAACTTTTCCCCATATTCCCTTAAATGAGCACATCCCAAATCCATAAGGATATTTGGAAATAAAGCCAAAAGAGCAAATCTACCATTTCCTTTCTTCGTTGTTATCTTATCTACCAAGACTGTCTTTTCTTCTTCTCCCCATGAACCTCATAAATCTGGATACTTCCATGTTTGTCTGTCAGAGGCCCTTTCTTATGGAATTTGTCATATGGGAGACAGTAGAGATAAAACTAGGAATCCTATACAACCTCTACCTTTTTAAAGTTCACAGGAAAAAAGATATTTGAATTAAAAAATATATATTTGGTTCACCGATTTTAATTATCCATATTAGACTGTCCTTTCATTTCCATTAGTAATCAAGATTTAACGAATAAAGTAACTTTTTAAAAATGGTTTCACTGTTTTCCAAGTTCAGAAGACTCCCCACACACCAGAAGTCACTAAATTAAGCAAAGGGGAGAAAGCCTAAATGTCATACTGAAATCCAAAGATATACTAATGGGAATGACCTGGGCTCAAGGGCTAATAAAGGACGAAGAAACAGTGAGTGAAATTATTAAGACTCTCCATGTTAGTACATGCCTAGACCATCTAGGCTTGGATAAAGATGGTACATTTTAGGCTCAGTAACTGAAAAATCATTTTTCCATGAACTGTAGTATTTTGAGCTTAAGTTAGAATACTGAAGCCCTGTTTTAGAGAAAACTAAAAATCATACACATTATCTATTACATATATATATACACACAGTATATGTATGTAAAATAATATACTATCCATGTATATAAAATCATATACCTATATCAAAATCCATCTTACAGATTTTTTTAATCTGAAGGTTAAAGTCAATGGAGAGGAGAATCTAGGCAAAAATCCACTTAGAAACAAGAGCCTGAATAAATTGATAGAAAATTTGGAAATTTAGTACCTAAATCTTAGACCAACTAATGGTAAAATGAGATGTTAATTAAGTAACAATATTATTTGCAAAAACAATGATGGATGAGTTAAAGATAGGATCTCAGGTTTATTCACTGGAAGACCCAAATGTGCTTGCTACATTTCTAAGATGAGAGGGGGGTTACTACGTCTCCCTCCAGCCTGTATACTTCTCAGTAGACAACTATAGGAGTTAGCT